TGCCGTAAATCTACGACATGGGACCGCCGGCTTTACTTCCCCTCCGAAGGAAGCTGTGCTACGGATTTTTATCACCCTTAAAAATCCATCGACCTCGGCCGGGATCGAACCCGCGAACCTTGGGTCTAGTGGTGAGCGCGCTAACCACTAGTCCACCGACGGCGACCATTGTTGGAATCTACTGTTTGCATTCGGCCAATATTAGAGAAAAAGTGGGAGTATAATGGGTCGATATACCAACTACTTGTGGCCTTTAAGAAGGCATATCACTAAGTTAGAAGAGAGGTACTGTGTGAAATTTTGATTGAGTTTGGAATACCAAAGAAACTTGTTGGTTAATTAGGTTTTGTAAAGAATGAGGCATCTGGTAGAGTTTCTATAGGTAACCGTCTGTCGGATACGTTCCCAGTGCACAATGGCTTTATCCCCAATGCTTTTTAATTTTGCTCTAGAATATGTCATCAGGAAGGTCAGGGCAAATCAGGATGGGCTCAAATTAAATGGTCTGCACCAGGTATTTGCCTCTGCTGATGAAGTCAATTTACTGAGGGATAGCTTGGGTACTACAACCAAAACTGCAGAAACTCTCCTACAGGATAGCAAGGAAACAGGCCTAGAAGTAAATGCAGAAATCGTTGTCAGTGGAACCACAGTTCCGGAGAATTTGACGTAAATACGTCCATACGGAAAGGAAGTTTATATATTGGCTTTATTCTAAATATTTCCTTTATATCCGCTTTACAATTGAGTAAAGTTTGATTAAGACTTTGTTTATTTAACTTAAATTAGTTACACTTAAGATGGGTCTATGGTAGCTGAATGTAATGTAATGTTTTATAGGTAACAACAATGCCGAGTAAACAGATGACGTTTCGTAGGTAACAATAATGCCGAGTAAACAGACGACGTTTCGTAGGTAACAATAATGCCGAGTAAACAGACGACGTTCCCTAGGTAACCATTGTTACACTTTTTCGTTTCCCTTTTTCGTTCCACTTTTTTGCCGAATGACCCTTCCTTATAGACGTATTTACGTCAAAAACCAAATACATGGACGTAATACGGGATCAACATCAGAAACAACGGCGTAACATAATTATAAGTAACACATTTGAAAATGTTTCAAGATTTAAGTATCTGGGAGAAAACAATAATAAATATAAATACGTCCATGATGAAATTAAAAGGAGAATACATTCGGGAAAAGCTTATTTTTCAATTCAAAAACTGTTTTCATCTCGTTTGCCATTCTAAACACTAAACATCAGGATATATAAACAATGATTTTGCCCGTTGTCTTGCGTGGTTGTAAGACGTGGTCTTGAAGAAAGATGACAGATTATAAGTGCTTGAAAACAAGGTGCCCAGGAATATATTTTGACCTAGGAAGAATGAAATAAGTCGGAAATTTAGAATATTGCACAAAGAGGAGCTACGTGTATTGTACAGGTCGCCTAGGTTAGTGAGGATAGAGTAATCTAGGAAGCTTGAATGGGCCGGACATGTTGCTCGCGGGGGGGAGGGGGAGGGTGGAGCCAAAGGGTGCATACAGTGTTTTGGTAGGAAATCTCTCTGGAAAACGACCACTGAGCAGACCAAGAAGTAGACGGGAGAATAATATCAAGATGGATCTTAGGGAGATGGGCTGTGGGAATGGTAAATGGATGGAGTTGGCTCAGGATCGTGGCCGGTGGCGGGCTTTGGTGTTGTTGGGCTTGCGGGTTGCGCTACCAGGGGGTTAGAGAGCAATGCAAAGAAGACAGCTTTAAATAATGAATTTATGGATAACACAGTATATTGGCAGTGTTTCATATCAGGATGCTGAGAAGAAATTTGTACCCAACTTAAATAACAGGAGTACGGAGTAAAGCAACATAATTTGTATTCTTCATCAAATATTAAAGTGAAAAACCACGATGTTTGTAGCACGCAAGTTTGAAATAAGAACTTAATAGAACAACTACGTAGGGAAATCTTAACGAAAAACACGACTTATGTGATATAGGCGAAAATACGAGGACGATGTTACAAGGAATAGAGAGTCAGGTTGTGAAATGGATTCATATTGTTAAGAACAGGGCCCAGTGGCGGGCCATTTTGGCCACGATAATGAAGTTTCGGTTTCTTTAAAAGAACGTTTTTGCAATCTAAGCGACTATCAGCTTGTCAACAACAACAATGAAGTCAGTCCAATATATTTCTCCACGAAAATTCTACATTTTCTTTAAACATCAAAGCTGCATTTCCAGCTAGTTTTTGTTTCACTTCACTTGTTAAGAAAACAACTGTGAGCAGAAGACATCACGAAAACTCAGTATCTGTCCTGCTGTCCTGCAACTGGTGATATCCCACCGAGGAAGAAGCATCCAATGAGATTAGCATTATTACCGCCACGCGCCCTCGTAATGGAAAGTTCTGTTATCGCATCCGTGCAGGGCGAAAATCAATTTGCTGCATCCCCTTATCGCAGGCAACCAGTCAGGTGCTGCTAGTCTCTGCCCCTAATAGTCAATCTTCAACGAAGTAGGGCAGTTACTACTGTATTACTGTCAACATTTCACTGTCTGATTTGATTTTCGACCGGGGCAAGTATTTATTTATTTATTTACACTGAACTCAGCAGCCTCGCGGTCACAGATGTGGGACTCTGCTGCTTGATTACTAGGATCTTCGGTTCGAATACCGCTCATGGCATGGTTGTTTGTTTCTTTTTTTCTGTGTTATGCTGTCGTGTGTAGGCAGAGGCATTGCTACAGTCTGGTCACCAGTCCGAGAAGTCCTGCCAAATGTCGAAACTGATACATAATTTCAGAAGTAATTCTGAATTTGAACAGACCACAAAGCCTAATCGCTATTAGTTGATTTATTTAAGGTACATGGTCTAATTTAAGAAACAACACCGACATTTGCCCATAAGGACTGAGGAAAGCCACAGACATGGTCCCCGGACCCGAGATTTAAAGCAAGATGGGAATGGTGACCACATTGTCACGACAGCACTGATTAAGAACACGTGTCATGTCATATGCTGCCTTGTCGTAAGCTAGCAAAACTACGGCCTGAACTAACGAACATTCAATTTCTCTTTCGGGCCGACGGCACTGCGAGCTTCATATCGATTGATACCAGAGCGTTCTTCCCCATGCGGTCAAGCGGTTGGAATGTGACGCTAATCACTTTAATACCACCGAGTGATCCATGATCTTTAATGAACAAAAAAAATTACACTATAAATCAGATTTATTATTAGGCTTGTGCCGTCATTATTAACATACCACACGCTTTCACAACCAGCTGGCCACAGAACACCATAACCTCTTCTACCACAAAACATAAACTGCCATCATATAGGCTAGTTTACCATGTTTTTATATGAGCCGGGATAGCTCAGTCAGTATAGTGACTGGCTACAGACTGGGCGACCGGGTTTCGATCCCCGACGGGGACAGGATTTTTCCTCTAGCCTCTGCGTCCAGACCGGCTCTGGGGCCCACCCAGCCTCCTCTACAATGGGTACCGAGGTCCTTTCCCGGGAGTAAAGCCGGCCGGGGGGTGATGCTGACCACTCACCCCCATCTAGTGCCGAGGTCAAGGAAGAGAGGAGCTATACTTCCACTCCCCCCAAGCGCCTATATGGCGTATAGTTGGACAGCTTTATTTACTTTTTTACCAAAAATTGCTCCACAAAAATAAAGCAATTTTTGGTTATCATCGAGAAAAATCTTGTAGCTCTTGGCGGTGAGTCATGCAGTTCGTGACGGTAGCCAAGAAATCACAGTTGCGTTCAACTTTATCACTGATCGCTCTGAATTAGGCCTACCAGTGCCATATCATCATATTTAGTACGTCACATGAACAGCAGATAGGCATTCTTTGCTGATTTATATGGCATTAATCAGCATGAACAAATTATGTAGTTATTACTGAATTACAGATTAAACTATTAAAATATATTATAAAATTCAGGTCAATACACAAAACATTTATTTGGATGTTAAAATTTAAAATTTTAACATTTAAATTTTAACATTTAAATTTTAACATTTAAATTTTAACATTTAAATTTTAACATTTAAATTTTAACATTTAAATTTTAACATTTAAATTTTAACATTTAAATTTTAACATTTAAATTTTAACATTTAAATTTTAACATTTAAATTTTAACATTTAAATTTTAACATTTAAATTTTAACATTTAAATTTTAACATTTAAATTTTAACATCCAAATAAATGTTTTGTGTATTGACCTGAATTTTATTATATATTTTAATCAAAAACACAAACATGACGCATGTAAACCTTAAAGATTAAACTATGTGAGTTGCCTTGCCACGTAAACAAGGTATGAGCTGGGACACATCAATCAGTAAGGGAACTGACTGTGGGATGGACAACAGGGTTTCGATTTCCGGCAGGGACAAGGACTTTCCCTTCACCACCACATGCAAAGAGATCTGGGGCCCACCCAGCTTCATACACAATGGATACTGGGACACAGCAGACGGAATCTGTTTGTGGTCATTCACTCAAATTTATGCCGAAGCTAACAATTCATGAAGGAGGCCAAGGCTCGACTTCGGGCTGTCGCGCCATGGAAGAAGAAGAACAATTCATGGGGATTTACCTCTACCCCCCTCCCCAAACCGTCTTCAAGACCCGTTAGGGAGAAGGCTATTTAAATACTGAAAAAGTTAGTGAGGTTAAACACAGCGTAACAATTCTAGGTTTTTCGCCGGAATTTGACGTTCAATAATGGCGCCAGCAACATCAAATTTTTCCGAGTGAATGGTACTCCCCACAGTGAAAACATCAGATCTTACTGAGTATAAATACGAGTGTTCTGATGCTGAAGGCAGCAAGTGCCTCTGAAACATCGGTAAAATTCTAGCAGCTTACATGACGCAACATCCCAAAAGACAGTTATCTTCGAAACGTTCCCTTTCAATTCTACACACAGAAGCTGTTACTTTAATTATTTGAGTCAACAAGTATGATATGCGAATATGCCATCAAATGAATCATATTTTATTACAAGTTTTATTGAAACAGACATCTCCTTACCGAAAGAGAATACTTCATAACAGCTATCAGATTCTCTATGAAAGTAACAATTAAGCATATATTAATGTATAAAAATATATTGAGACTAGGTAATTTCAGTACATACCCGTATTACCATTGGTTACAAATCTTAATCTCCTTGTCTCAAATTCATTACTAATGTGACAGGTAATAATAGCAGGATTTTTATGGCTCCCATAGACATGTATTTTAAGCTTTACATACATACTTCTCATCTTAACCCTTTCCATGCTATATTTGAAGAATAAACCTTCTTTATAAGTAAGTTAAACCTATATAACACAGTTTAAATTCTATCTTTGAACGGCCACATAACAATTAGTGAAATAATTAACATGATAGGGCAAATTTCTTTCGCTGATCTGACACAAAAAATAAACTAGACGACAGACGGACTGTGCTTCTGAGAGAAATATCTCGTGCGTAACATGGGAAGGGCTAATAACAGCAGACAATTCTATGAATGATCATTCTTTGAAAGTAATTACCATAAAAATCTTGGATAGGATCGCGTGTATCTTAGCATAAGATTCACAACAGAAAAGTTTGATGCTTCACTTTGTATTATAAAGCCTCTACGCTGTTCTAGATACAAATGTCAAAGAAATACAACATTCATTTTTGTACATATGTTTGTATTCCAGTGATCCTAAATAAAAAAGTACCATGTATATATGTAATGGTAAAATTTAAGAAAGCGTAGATAATATTAACACCTTTGTAGTTGGCATGTTGCAGTTTAGAGACGCGAAGGACAAGATATACAAGGTTTAATACCACTCGAAATGTATCCCAACCTAGGTAAATGGCTATGTGGCGGGAAACGAAAATATTCATTCTACCCTACCATTCAGTTTATTAAGTACAGACGTCAGCGATCTCACAGGCCAGATAACCACTGAACTTTGTTGGAATAATACCGGCAATTTTTGTAATATGTCAAGTTGTAACTTTTAGGGGTTAAATTTACACTATGTGACAGTGATATCACATCACAAAAATGTGGGCCTACTGTTGTGTTTTCAGACAACACCGTCACTATGAACACTGAAGTTTTCTCTCTCGGTGTGGCATCCGCCGTTTAATTTAAATCGTACAGTGGAGTGTTGAAGTATCTTTCTTAGCTGACGGAATTGACTAAAAACACTTCCAGTCACCATGGGTAGCATATTATGGATTGTAATGCGGCAGAGACAGAATTCGCTATGCTAGAAAGGGAAATGTGGAAATATTTTCTACGCTTTGTCCTGCACACATGTTACATTTTGGAATTAAGCCAAGACATGCGCTTAGCACGTGGAGAAAACTGAATGTAGAGTAATACAGAACAAATCTGTGTATCTAAATATAGTAGTTATTCAACTAATGACAGATCCAAGTCCGCAAATTGTAACTTGGGGCCAGTCTCCTTTAGAAATTGAGGGACCGTTTCTTGAAAGATGGATATGTAGGCCTATCACAAATTGATTTATATCATATGCCCTCGCGATTAATATTAATTACAAGTATAGGTGCTTGTGATATGTCTTCAATTGCAATATCACAAAAGGCGATAATTTTTATACTAATGGTAAACATGTCTCTATGTACTATTAGAAATTAGATATGCAAACTAATAAGTTCATTTGTACTTCACCGGTGAGAGGCAGATATTGGTACCACATTTGGCACTCTTTTTCCAGAGAGTGAATCAGAAAATTTAGGTCCAATACACTAAAACCTCATGTAAGCGTGTTTCAACATAACAGGAATCGTCAATTTGCTCTGAATATTAAACGTTTTTCTTAACATGACACTCTGTTTAAAATAATTCATTAATTTTTCTTTCTGAAATTGCTTTTGGCGATCTCTCAAAAGTACAATAAGCATGCAATTATTGATTCTGATTATTTGTTACTTAATAGAGCCATGAGATTCTTATGTGCCTGTAAATGTCCGTATAAAGAGACACAAATTATATATTATTTTCAAACTATACTATTGCAACAATATTAAAAACGTATCAAATCCCACCATTTTTTCAAGAACAAAAATTAAACATTTAGACACACAAGAAAACTGCGAAGAATATTATTAAGAACACAAGTTTTGAAGAGTAACTTCTTCATATTAGAGCCTTAATGAAGTAAGTACGGAATATCCAGTTGTTATTGTAACCATTTGGAATTGTTATTCCAGTTCGTAATCTTTAAAAATACTCGTCTGGACAACACAGTAAGTAGTAACTTATGTGAAGAAACAAGTAGTTAAGCATGAAACCAATTTCTATCCTTAGACTTTATTTGATTTCAGTTTTTGAAAATACATTGGAACTGGCCCAAAACCAATTCAAATGTTTCAAAATAAAAGTGTCATAATCACAGAATTTCGTAAAGATATAAATCTGTTTTGCAGCAAATAAACTGTTTCAATTTCCATCTAGAGGCAGCCATTAACATAATAAACGTCGCCTACGTAAGTAGACGTTTCACAGTCGTCAAAGAATACTAGAGGACTAACTTCAAGACATAAAGGACATTAATTTTCTCGGTGATAAGAAACTGTTATTCTCGTTCCAGTAATTTGTAGTATTTTTGTGTGTGCTGATTCAGCTTAGTATTTCACAATTCAGACCTCCTCATACGGCGTATGACCAGAAGAAAACCGGATTTAGAAACAACCTATTTTGAAGAACGTATTAACGGCCTCAGAAATATGGTATTGTTTTTACTCTTCAATAATATTTCCAGATACTATTTTCCAACTATGTGCTCTAGGTAACCCAACCACTGAACTGGCCGATTATAGAACGAATAATAGGGATAAAAATCCTGGCAGAAACGGAAATATGTCACCACGTCCAGACAGGTTTGAGGCCCGCTCAGCTTCCAACGTAATGGATACCAGAGCCCCTATATTCAGTGATATAGAGCGACGTTAACCACTTGCATCCTTCATGCGTAGAGGTAAAGAATGCGAAGAGAAAATATGCTCATATGGGGTGGTTCTTAGAGAGGGAACTTTACTTTTAGACATTAAGTATACAGACTTAATTATTCGACTATCAAAGGCATTTAAAAATGGCAATAGTCTAGATATAATATTGTTATGATATGTAAAATTCTTGTTTTTGACTTTCGTCCATCTCATACAATATAAATTATAAAACTAGAATGTTTCGGAAGCAGAATCCAACGTCAGAAACATTGCAGTTTTACAATTTTATGATTTAGAAGTTGGACAAAGCCCAAAAGAACAATTTTACATGTTATAACGCATCGTCATCAGAAATCTTCAGACTTCGATAATACTGAGTAAGATATCTGGTTCTCACGGCAGCAATTGTGATGATGGCTGTCTTCTAGATTGTGTATTCTGGTTCCCGATGATGGTGGCAGTGAGTACCTCTGAAACATCGGTAAACTTCAACAAGACTACACGGCGCAGCAACCCTCAAGACAGCCATCTTCATCCTCAAAAATATTGTTACGATCATGCTCTACGGTCCATTTTAATATTAGCCTCCCATCTATACCGACCTAGGTCTCCCTGGACTACCTGTCTGTCAATGATAAAAACAATAATTTATCGATACTTCAACAGTAGTATGCTGTTGGGCTTTGAAATGCAATGAATGAAAGAAACCACTCATCAATTTGTCCCAGTAAATAGGCCCTTATATACTGCTATTAATCATGCGACCCACTGCTATATTAATATTCAAAATGTGATGTTAAACAGTGGGGCGAGTGAGGCTGTCTTCAACATAGTCACATATTAAAAAAACACTGTATGCCACTTGAACACACTATAGGCTTATAAACAGTTCTATTTAACGTTTAATCGTTTTAAACGTCTGTGCCAATTTCAACTGAAGGCATGCAAATGTTTCCCACAGGAAGTAAGAAAAATAAAGTAAAGTGAAGTTAACAAGTGAATCGGACACTACATCTCGCTATGTTCCCTGCAAGTAAATTGGCAAGAACAAGATATTTCTACAGAACTGAACATAGACCTGTAGTGACTTATTTACATTTGCAGAGAAACAATAACCTAGTCTAACTGTAGAGACGGGAGGTCAGTCCTCTCTTCTTTTTTACCACACATGACAAAAACTAAAGGACATGCATGTTCGCACAGTTCGATAATTTTACATTGCAAACGCATGAACAATCACTATGATAATGTCCTCGATAACGATTACAACAACAACTGGTTACATAAATATTACAGAATTTAAGGCAGAATATATCTTCCGCTTGCAGGAGTCAACATTCATGAAACACGTAAGCAGAAACGTTCTTTGGGCGAAAACAAGAAGAGGAGGGGGGCGGAAATCACGCACCCACGGCACAGTACTATTAATTTATGGAGGCTGCTGAATTTTTCTGCGTAGTAAAGTTGGTCAAGTACAATTTGGATTTTGGGTGTATTTGTATGTCAGTCTTCTGATGGTTGAGTGCGAGAGTGGTCAAATGAGGAAAGTTTATCGTGGTAATATTTCAGGGAACAATAACACTGGTATTTAGTGTTACCACATATTCCTTGGAGAACTATGTGAACAACCAGACAGGAGAGAAAGACGCCAGTCAAAATGTTAGTGACGCAACAGAAAATTTGTGCACGGTACATCAGTACCTCTTATGATATTAACTCCTTCTTCCCACAGGCCAGCGGTCACCAAAAATAAAAGGGCAGTATAAGTCATTTCTGCGCTCTCAATAAATGAAAGCAACTAGAAATGTGGCTTTACTGAAAGGCAAACATAAGGATAAACAGAGGAACAGCGATGACACAGCCCAGGTAGAGGGCAGTCCGCGGCTCACATGTGGACACTGCAATGAACTCCTCATTCCAGAGGGACTCGTTCGGGCGGACTGGTAGCTCCAGGACCACTTTCTCACTGGAGAAGAAGTGGAGGGGCAGTGAGCACGACTCGGTGGAGTTCCTGCAGGCCGCCATCGAGTTGGACACATTGTACATCCTCTTCTCAAGGTCAAAATGAACTCGAATGTAGTTTGTTTGCACTTCGTTCTCACTGCTGAATACGAAGAAGTAGTACCCGTTCCTTGGAATCCTGCGGAGGAAAGAATTAGCCCAGTTACATGGCTGTGTGTCTCGTGATCAAGCTGGCCATATTTACATAACCTAATATTGAAATAGTAACTGTTACTGTGCTGAATTCATTAGATACTTTCCATGTTGTTAATGCCAGTGGTTCCTGACCAATTATATTAAGAGACCAGTATGACAACAGTTTTCCTACCGAGGACCGTTCCCTACCTGGATCACACTGCACACAAAGAAGTCTCCTCTAAAATCTAATTCTTACTAACACATCGATCAACATGTTTTCTAACATAAACGATCAACATTTTCGAAATATTAAAATGACGAGACAGCATAATCATCCACATCAAACATTCGCAGTTAACTTTTTTTTTGTATGTTTATTTTTATACATAAATTCGTTTTCTTTGCGACCCATGTCCCATGAGCTGAGGCGTAGGACCAGGAGGGGTTCAAAATTATGAAGAGATATATGAAATAATTTGTCAGACAAATTTGACTGCCAGTGGCTCAAGGTTAGTAACATGGCTCGCTTAAACAGATCCTACAAATCCTCATTATTCCGCCGGTTATAGAAACATCGCAGCAAGATCGAGAGGAAATAATGTAGGAAGGAGGCTTGATGTTCGACATAAACGAAAAAGAAGATGAAACATGGAGAGGTTAGGCAGTTGTAACGTGACAATTCTCAAAATTGTAGTAAATTGTTAAAATACAATTAGAATTTTGGGCCCGACATGAATTGCGCCGCACTAGTTCATAAGATGAAAGAAACGAATAAGATAAAAACAGATAAATATTCTCGGATCACTTGACATATCACCACAATCTTTTATGGTAACTGTATTGCCAATACTTACAATAATTGCCCACACGTCTTACAGCAGGGCCGCACGTTATAATATGATTCCTTATTTAACATGCAGCACCAAGAGCCGCGATAGAAATACATGAAAATTTGAAAGGGAAAAATACAATTCTATCTCTAACTTCCACTGCTAAGAAACTTTGTGTCATAATTGGAGAGAACCCAACAATACAATTAAATTTAAACACATGAATTAACGTACAGGCCCTTATAGAAGACGGTAAGAAGAATCATCATCATAGTCGTCGTCAACGTGATACTGTTGTTACTGATTGGCATTACACCATACATTTTATGGAAGAACTAACTAAACAAAGATTTAGTTCAGAGTAAAGATTTCGGACACAAGGCTAACCTGAAATATTCGTTGTCACTTTGCTTGTAATTATTTACTTATAAACAATATAGAAATTGGCAGTAGGGAATTTGTGATTTGTCAAATTTCCCATGCCTCGCGACAATCGTTCATTTGCCACAGCCATCAAATCAAAGGCTAAGTTAGCCTATAGATTTCGTACGACCTCTATCTTGTTTTACATTCAGATGATGGTAATGAATTTGCTCTAACAATGCTTTCTCACCTCTTACATGCCCTCAAATGGCTAAGCTGTAAAAAGTAAAGCTGTCCCACTAGCTCCTACTCATTTTTAACCTCAACACTAGACGGGGTTGAGTGGTCAGCGTCACGCCCTGGCCGCACTTAACCCCCTGAGAAAGGACCCGTTACCCATTGGTTAGGAGGCTGGGTGGGCCCCAGAGCCGGTCTGGACGCAGAGGCTAGACGAAAAGTCCTCTGCCTCCGTCGGGCATCGAACCCCGGTCGTCCAGGTCGTAGCCAGTCACTAAATCGACTGAGCTACCCCGGCTCACATGAGAAACAGCGAAGTATAAAGATAAGGAAGAATAACAGTTGAGGCCATGCGCCAAAATGGATAACCTGTTACGCTGTTGTTTACTCACTTGTAAGTGATGGTGTTCTCATGGGCCGCAACAGTGTGCTCGTGATGTGACCGATGTTTGCTACACTTGCTGTGCGGGCTTAGGGGCAGATTGAGGATTAGCCCCGCGCACGACAGCAGCCTCTCCTCACTGCTGGAGAACGAAGACCAGAATTCACTCTTGGATCGGTCGTTAAGAGTCGTCTCATTCACCATCTGGTGGTGGTCTGCAATCCCGTCGGGCTGAAATCCCTGAAAGAGAGTCCCGACAATCTGACCTTCGGTTATCCGACGTGATGTGTCGAAATGCTCCAATTTAGCATTAGTCAACTCAGGCTGTACCAGAGCAAATCACCTTTTTTATTTTACGTACTCAGTTGCTACAGACTGTTCAGGCGATGGGGAGACTGCCGAAAAGAAAGAGGAACGAGGTTCATAAGCAAATACCCATTACTGTTTTGATTTGTGAGACTTTTATTTGATACCGTGTCGTATTTTCTTCATAATTTAATAATAAGTATCGTAATTTGAGTTATAAATTAAGCTGATATTCACCCTCTCCTTTTCATTAGTCTTCTGTATTATCCGACATTTTCGATTATCCGAAAGTCCTTCAATCCCGTTTACGTCGGATAATCGAGACCTCTGTACATCATCAATGTCCCCTGGTCACTGGTCCGCAAATTCTAATTTGAGTTAGGGCTATACAGGTGGCTCCGCACTTCCAATATCAGCATTTTGCATATACGCGGCTTTATTTCAGTGTCATGAGGAGCACCAATATCCTATCAGTGGCCATGCAGGGTCACTAAGTTGCCACTATATATAGTTTTTAATTGCAAGCATCCAGTGTTGAAGATTAACATGTCTTTTCGATTTTAGTAGCACATAACTATGTGCCTGGTGAGTAACGGACAAAATATTCCTAAGTCCATGTAAGGTGCTCTTGTTAATAATGTGCTCAGGTAATCAAAACATTCACCAACATTTACTGAAGCAGAAGGTTCAATACTGTGTTTAGAAGAGTCCGCCACTGAACCCTGGGTATATTCTGAGTAACCTGAGTTAAGTCCACACCCTAATAACTCATTTCTTCAAGATCCAAATTAATATTAAACTCCAATCTACGCCAATATTCCAAGTAATCGCTTCCTGTCAATTTAAGGGTGTTAATATGTACGATGCAAATTAATATATTTAGATTTGTGGTCTGATGTTTTCACGGCAATGAAGATGCCGACATGTTTTTCTGGGTTGTAACGCCGTATGAAGTATTAGGTGCTTATCAACGTTCCAGGGGAACTTCAGAGCTGATGATGGATGCAATATTTTCTTCCGAAACTTGGTACCAACCAGAAGACCATCATCGATTTTTGATATTACCAACAATCATTAGTTTTGGTAACGTTACATGCAGTGTACAGAAAGTGGCAGACAGATACCGGTCCTCGGAAAAATCATTGCTGTTTTACGATTCCCTACATATAAAACGTTGAGAACCACTGGGTTAAAGGATAATAATAAATGTAAGTTTGAAAACATTGTGCAGTTCGTAAGATCTGCTTCACTTACCTCCTCATTGGCTGCATCCTCGTCCTCAGCGTGCATGTTGAGAGATTCCTGCAGACTCGGAGGTGCCAGTGTGATTCCCCTGCGACTTCTGTCCAGCATACCTTCACTCCCGTTATGATTTCCAAAGTCCTGCTCCAGTATAATGTCACGAATTAAGTTTCTCAAAGTGTTAAAACTTTCGTAACCATTTACGTCGTCTTTGCTGGGAAGAATATTACCCATCTGAGAGTTCAGTCGCCTTAGAACACTTCTGCCACGGTCTCCTAGTCGTTGGAGTCTTCTGAGAACATCCTCAAATACTTCACTAGACGTCAATGCAGAACTGTGCTCGTCACTCTTACTTGAAACATCACTTCTAGGCGATTCAGTCGACACCTTATATTCTCTTGAATATGATTTAGAAGGCGAATTATTAACAGCATTCTTTGCTTTAATCCTGCTTTTTGCCCAGGCCACGTTTCGAATTAACTGTATTACAATGTTATCTATATCATCAGAGTCACCATCATCTCCATGTTCCAACTTTTCGTGGGAATTAATAGGGCCCTTGCTCGCGTGAAACATGACTCCAGGTCGAACTCTTCTCATTTTTGCCGGCTCGTTCATCTCGTTACTGTTTTCGCCGTTTGTAGACGAGTGAATATCTGTTGTAATTTTTGTTCGGTTGGGGTCATGTACCGATGTCATTGGCCACTCCTCCAAATTCCCTTCCATCTCCTCAAGTTCCTCTGACGAATCGTCCCCGATGTATGCGCACTGATGCAAGTGTTTATGGCCCCGGATGACGATGAGGGATGCGCCGGGCCACCTGTCGATAAAAAATTAAACTATTTAATAGACTATAGTTTGATTATTTCCTTGTTACTTTTCGACTACACTTTATTAACATTGTTGCCACATCGTCACTTTGCACTCAGCCACGGTGATGACACCTAGCGATCCAGATGCCTGGAAGGTCCTTTCTCCTGCGTCAGAGCTCCTGCGAAGGAATCACTTGCTACTTCCCATCCTTATTGCTCTGCTGCCAACGCTAGACAGCCTCAGAGGAAGTTGGGTCGGGCACTTTATGCGCTTAAAGGATGTTTCCAGTTCGAGGACTAAAGACAGACTAAGGATGTGTTAGACGCGGTAGATATGTCCCGCTGTTTCACGTCGTTGTCCCTGTCTCCCCCACCAGTTCACCTTCTTCTCGCGCAGATCGCGACAGATTTATCTGGCTTTGGTCGATACTACAATGAGACAGACAGCTACAGACCATGGTCCACATTCACCCTTGCTTCTCAACTAACGCGCGGGCCGCAAGGTTATAAACGCGGAATATTTAGTAAAACTCTATGGTAATTTGTTAAATATGATACTGGCTTACTATCCAAAATAGGTGCGTACACTACACGCCTACATGATAATTTTAAACACAATCGGTCATTAGTGAGATATTTTATGTTTTAATTTCTCTTTTTGCAATTCACAAGCAGAACACATCTCCATGTGTTCACCTTTAAGACCCGTTAAAATTCTTGATTTGACATTATTCATGAAGTAGAAGAGTTGCTCACAGCAGTGGTTACAGACCAATACTAACGACATAAACAAAACGTGTCGTTTTATATCACAAAATATAAATTCCTGCTAGAGACCTAATGGAAAAGACGCATTGTTAATTGTCGTAAGATTTATTGATTAAATATCTCTATTAGATTCAAACTGCGTACCAATGGCGAAACGAGCTCTAGAAGTCACGTCGTGTATAAATGCAATATTATTAAATCCTCCAAACAATTGAAACACGATGCTAAGGTACTTTATTAATAATAATGGATGGGACAAGAAGTGTGCACAGGGTATTGGTTGGGAAGCCTGAGGGGAAGAGACCGCTCGGGAGACCTAAACGTAGATGGGAGGATAATGTCAGGCGGGATCTATGGGAGATAGGAGTTGAAGAAGACTGGATTTTGTTGGCCCAGGACAGGATCTGGTGGAGGGCTTTGGTTAATTCGGTGATGAACCTTCGGGTTCGGTAAGCCATCTAGTTAGTTAATAATAACTGTAACATCTATTAAAAACAAAATGTATTTCGGAAATAGCTGCTGCATTATGTACCTTAGGGGCAAGGTTTGTTTCGGGTACATAGAAGTAAATACCCTATAAAGTGGTGAATAGATGGAATAATTCAATTCAATTCTTTAGTATTAGTGTTCTATATAAACAGACAGGAGGCCAATTACAGATACAGCACGGAGATGAACACACGAGCAAAGTAATAAATACAGAAATGCAACAACAAAGGGAATATAAAATACACGAGTGCAGAGGACGCCCATACGCAATGAGAAAATGCTACTAAATACATTGGTATATATGTAGTAATAATTTAGATAAATCAAGTAAGTTAGATTATTGTAGGATGTAATTAAGTGTAACAATTTTCGTCTCGAATATGTCCAAGTCCCTGCAGACAACATTAGCAGCTGATATGCATCTAGCAGAAGGACTGTTTTTAATCGAAGGGCTAAAACTGAACATAGAAAAATCTCCCAGATTCCAAGCAGGGATGCGGAAACCGACAACTTCCAGGAGGGTAAGACATCATTTAAAACCGCGGTAATCCTGCGCAAGGAACAGTGCATCACTACAATGCCTTAAGCAGGGTATGGAGTTTTAAATACACTAATGCATTAGAGCAGCTATAATGCAGATGGGGGAGGAAACGATAGTAGCAAAGGGCTGCAAACTTCTGCTGGATACGTTCAAGTCTGTTGGCACCAATAGTCGTAATAGAATTCCAAACGACCGATAATAATAATAAAGTAGATCGATTGGTACACTGTTATAAGCTGCTGTTGTGTTATACAGTAAAATATATATTTAATCCTGCAGTTAAGCGGCTACCGGAGCACTAATAGCCAGACCATAGTATTCGACACTGATGTGTACGTTTCCTTTCCGGCGGACAAACTAAACGACCCTCTTTTGCTGGAATAAGCACGCTAAGACCTTGAAACTATATCACATATTCTTACCCAGAAACTCACCCGCAGATCAACTGGGAATTAAATTTCGTAAGTATGAACTCGGTTAAATTTACTGCGTAGTCGAAATTCATTGGCCTCCATAAAATAATTGGACTGTAGTGAATAACTGCAAAGAACACTGCTATGGATATGCCAGAATTTTACGTATCAAATCAAATTTTTTTAACATATCCCTAATAAATGTACATGCTCCAACAGAGGACAACGATGATTTTAAAAAAAGATTAATTCTACCAAGACCTGGAAGTAGTATATGACACAACAGCCATAAATAACACCAAAATCATACTTTGAGGCCTAAACGCCAAGGTGGGCAAAGAAATGACCCACAGATGAACTACAGGGGCACACAGTTTATTTGAGGAGTCCAATGATAATGGTTGCAAACTGATAGATTTAGTAATGAGTAAAAATATGGTGATCAGTTCAACCTGTTCCCCACATAAGGATATACCCAAGACAACATGGGTATCTTCAGATGGCATAGTGTTTAATCAAACTGATCATATATTAATAGACAGACATTTGCCTCAAGCATTCTCGATGTGAGATCTTACCGTGGTGCCAACTGTGACTCAGATCATTATTTGCTGAAGATCTGATTTAGATGTCGTATCAATATAAGTAAGCCAATAAAAGGGCAGGTTCAACCAGAAACCAACATACAGAACCTTAAGAACCCCATGAAGCTAAAAGAGCTACAAATGATGAATGAAGGAAAATTTACATCTGGGGACACAAATACAGAAGATACAATTGAGCAATTTAGGAATAAGGTGAAATCAAACATACCAGAGTCAGTTGAAACAGTACTTGTATATCAACCTACGAAACACAACAGGCAGTGGTTTGTTGAAGACTTCTGCCACAAAATACAAAAGAAAAGTCGAGCCAAAGAATGACCAACCAGAATAAGAACAGAAAAGTGTAAGTGCCTGAGACATGAAGCAGATGAAATATGTATCAGTAGTAAGTGAAAATTCATGAATGACCATTTTGCTTTTAATGGAGAGCAACTTTACAGAAAATAACATAAAGCAAGCTTTTGGAGTACTTAAATTCTATAAAGAAGGCTTCAAACCAAGGACTGATTTATATATAAATGGGGAAATATAATCAATAACAATGCAGCAATTAAAAATACATGGACGGAACACTTTCAACAACTTCTCCAATCAAAGGTGAATAAGTGTCATCACAATCCACAAGATGCCTTACAAACAAATGATGTTGAACCCCCTATACTAATTGAAATAAAGGAGGCAATCAAGATGCAAAAATCCCTTAAGGCGCCTGGTAAAGATGGAATCCCAGCAGAGCTTTTGAAACATGGGGGAGAATCCTTAATACAAACATTGCCCCGGCTCATATGGAAGATATGGAATGAAGAGGGAATGCCTCGTGACTGGAAGAATAGTATAATCTGCCCCATATATAAGAAAGGGGACAAATTAATGTGTGATAATTATAGAGCAATCTCTCTTCCATCTACCATATATAAAATAGTTACTTAAAAGGAAAACTTGTTGCTGTGCAAGTGATCCAGGAGTATCAGACGGGATTTAAGAAAGGTAGATCTACCGCGTGCCTTATACGTATTTACTATGAAACAGATATCTGAAAAAATGTTGGGAACATAATGTGGGCTTGTTTCAGATATACATAAATTTCAGACAGGCCTATGTCATATTAACAGAGAAAAAGTATATGAAGCTATGTTCCATTTTCATATACCAGTTAAAATAATTAGACTGATAAGACTTACAATGGCAAGTACAAAGAGCCAGGTGATAGTACAGACTGAGTTAACAGATTCAATAGCTACAGAAAGATTAAAACAAGGAGGTGGATTCACTCCCCTGCTATTTAATTTAGCTTTGGAATTTATTTTAAGGAAACTAAGCATTGATCTGGAAGGGATGATAGAATACAAATCTACACAGATTCTTGCCTATGCAGATGACATTGTTATCCCCCAGTTCTTGTCAAATGTGAAGGAAATATATATAGCAGCAAAGGAAATGGGCTTAGAAATTAGTGCAAATAAAAAACTATTGATTCAGAGCCAAAGGGCAGATAAGCAGTTCCATAGTATAACTTTAATGGGGGAAACAAAATCTATGTGCAAATGCTAGCGAGGAGCATTAGATCCTAAGATAAAGTGGTCAAGCAAATAGAGTGTATTTAACACTGCTGCCCATCATGAGATTTAGAGTAATACATTGACAAACAAAGATAAGGCTGTACAAGATAGTGATAAAACTGGTGTTATGTTATGCAAGTAAAAGCTGGACCCTAACCAAAAAGTCAGAATCAGCAATGGATGCATTTGAAAGGAAAGAAGAATACTTGGCCCAATGAAAGAAAATGATACAGGGAGAAAAGATATAACATTGAATTATATAATCAATTTGATGAGCCACGTATATGAAATACTATTAAACTGATAAGACTACAATGGGCAGGTCTTGTCCAGAGTATGAATGGAAAACGCATACCGAAAAGGATTCCGGAAAGCAACATTACTGAAAAGAGGTCTGTAGGTAAACCAAGGAAAAGATGGGTTAATACAATAGAAACAGACAGCAGGAACATCTCGAAAGTGAGAAACTGGAAAAGAGAATCTCTATACAGGCAAGTTTGGAGGCATATTTAAAGGAGGCCAAGGCTCGACTTCAGGCTGTTGCGCACGAGGAGGAGAAGAAGAAGATCCTTGGAACACGGATGTCTGAAAAATTGAAGTTATTTAATTCTCTTACTAATACTCGTCCTTTAAAATCCCACGGCTCATTTACCACCCGTAGTTTGGAAAGACAAAATCACAGATAAGTAAAACACGTATTTTAACGTCCATTTGCACTTCTGAATATACGTCTACAGATGTAATATTCAGAAACTAATTTTAATCCTTATGACCAGGATCGGAGAGTTCAAGTTAACCGTGCCAGCCTGGCTAACACTTTTAAAAAAAGGAAGGAAAAATAAAAAGTCTTACTTTCGTGGTTCAGTGGTACTCCATACACTGGAACACAGCAGAACCGAACAGATAAAACGCGTCGTTAGTCAGGTGCAACCAACCAGGCGTTGTTGACCTTAGAATAGACTATCAGCACATTCCATCTCCGAAACTCTTGAACGGACTTGAATGGGTTCTGTGACATCTTACAATAAATGTTGATATTTGGATTTAATTATATTTCCTATCGGTAAAATACAGGCATTCATTTTTTACACGAAAATCAAAATATAAATCCATTTAAAAATCATCCCTGTAACTTGACACTTATTAGCGACAACAGACCAAAAGTACGAAGTAGGTGGACCAAAAAGTAGGTCTGGTTATATTGTGATGAAGCGTGAGATTTCAGTTTCTCGCAGCGACGAGTATGAAGATAGATGTCTTCTGGGTTGTTGCACTGCCCTGACGATGGAAACAGCAATCATCTCTGAAACGTTAGTAAACGTCTACTAGACTCATACATTGCGCAACAACCGAGAGGCTAGCCGTCTTTGCGATGAAACCTCTGTGTGGTAACACATGTACCACTTGACACAGCCTTCACATTCTCATACGGTTAACATGTGATAGCTAGAGAAAAAATCTGTGTGTAAGGAATGTGGGAATGTGTATTTTGCGCACTTGGTTTTTTATAATAATCTACTGTAATGCCAGGACGAGCCGTTGTTGTTGACTTACACCCAGTGGCGGTACGTCCACAAGAGCTGCAGTACCTCTATAATTTGTGAAAAATTGAAAAATTTATTTTCTGTGTTTATATAATTTGTAACACTTTATTTCCTCTATATAATTATTTTAATATTGCCCCTTACGTTGTCATTATCCACTAATCGGCTGAACTGATAGTAAGACCGCGGACGAGGAGTGCGAAGCAGAACGGGGCTATCATCCGGCTGCAAGTATTTCAGCGCGGCTAGCCGGTCAAAAGTAGAGAGCGCGGTGTGAGGTGGGGTGAGGGGCAGTTCACTGGTACAGCGCGTATCGGGGCTGCAGTCCCCGCTCCTGGCTTATAGTAAACCCGCTTGCCCGGTACCACGTGTTTTAGACTGGTTTCTGTATCACAAACTGTTTCGTGGTTATTGTTAATGAGTGTTCAATAATTCTGTGTGCTGACTATTTTTTGTTCTGATAATAATAATGAGCAAAGGCAGTGTATCATAGTTACAGCAAATTACTTTTTCTAAATTGTCTATGAGTGAAAAAGTGATGTAAAAATCATGGCCACCCTCTTCCGGACTTACAAATAGTTAAAACATCGTCGAGCACGCATGGGTTTTTTCCTGACCTAAATTTACTTTTCATTTGTTTATATTGTTATGTGTTGAAAAACTATTCTGAGGTTCCCCCTTGCGCAGCACTACCACTGCTCAGACTCAACGAGCCGCCACTGCTTACACTGAAGTATTTTAGGGGGCTGAATGTTTACCTGACACACGTGGAGACCGTAACGGATGACCCTTGCAGCAAGTAGAAGGCCCAGTACTCCTTCATGTCGTCGTCGAGCTCCAGGTGTCGCGTCATCGACACTCTCATAGGTTCGGGTTCCAGTCCCGGCTGCTCTGGCATGAGGAATGCATTGAAAGTGGTGTTCGCTCGGACAAGCTGTCGCTGCAACATGTAAAACAATAATATGAAAGTTGTAGTTTTTACTTCTTGGGCACTTGAAGTATCGCTGTGCATGAAGTACATCGAAATGTCGATGAACGGAGTGCGAAATCCGGGGCGGACGCCATGCTCACTGCGTCCTAAAGACGACTCTGAAAACAAGATACTATTTAAACTATTAAGGGTAGTCAAAACGTCAAATGAGAGAGGGAAATGAGCATAAATAGCTAATGAACAAGGACTCGGAAGGGGTTAAAGCGGCCTAACATGAAGACATTAATCCAGCAATCCACTGAAGGTACTGAGAAAAACAACGAAAAACCTCAATTCAAAGACAATCATACCGAGATTCTAACCAAGCATCTCCCGAATACAAGCTACAGTATTTTTATAAATGACAATTATATTACAATGTCATATCAGTTACCGAAGATGTTGAGCTACAATGCCAAGACGTTACTGCAGGATCTATATGGAGTGTGAACATGACAAATTACTTTTTCTTTTTTTGGTATTTTGTTAAAAACACATTACATTGAAATACTCATTAAATAAAAGCTGAAAATCTTAATCTGAATGTAATTTTCCGTCATATACCAAAACATTGTACGATGGGTCTCTATTGGGGAAACAATTATGAAGTTAGATTCTAATTTAAGGTAGTTGTCTTCTGGGTTGTTGCGCCTTGTAGTCTGGTAGAAGTTTACCGACGTTTCAGAGGTCTTTGCTGCCTCCATAATCAGGGCGATAGTCGGTAAACCTCTACCGGACGACACGGCGTAATAACCCAGACTCACCGCCGTGAAAACCTCAAATCATACTTAGATTTTAATTTATAATATCAGATGGCTAGAAATTAAATCAGTAGAAATTTCACCGAAAAGCGTTGAGCAGTTTCGAATAACAATAACGCGGTCGGACAGACTGACACAACCTGCTCATAATATCTACACTTTCGTTCAAATAGCTAGTCACTTAATGACACAGAAATCTGTCTGAAGATGTTAAAAGTTTCGTCCCAATCCTGTTCGTTACACAACATGCGTGAAACGAAAGCTTAATGGAAATTACCTGTTCCATGGTATGATTCACTGCCAAAACTTATGTATCAGATTATAATTATAATATAGAAT